AGCCCGACCCCCCCGGCTCCAGCCTCCTTTCAGGCAGTTGCAGAGAGCGATGAGGGCTCCCCTCAGCCTCCTCTTCTCCAGGCTGAGCCTCCCCAGCTCCCCCAGCCGCTCCTCCCCAGCCTTGGGCTCCAGCCCCTGCCCCAGCCTCGCTGCCCTGCTCTGGCCACGCTCCAGCCCCTCAAAGAACAGAAGATCAGCAATAAAAAAGCAATAAAAAAGGATTTCCGCGTCCCAAATGGGCAGGTTTGGTTTTGCCTTTTTTTCAAGCTACCCCAGGGAAGCAAGGAGGGCATCGCTTGTTTCCAGAGCCCTTGGCTTCCCTCTGCCGCGCCTCAGCCTGCTCAGTCGAAGTTGTAGTAAAGGCAAAAGGCAAAGAACATGGCGAAGATCTGAAACGAGAGGAACGGGTCAGCCCCCTGCCACGGGGCCGCGCTCCCCCCTTGCTGCGGCTGCTTGCCGAGAGCCGCGGGACGGCTGTCCTCCGCTCCTGGCCCGAGCGGGCGCCGGGCGATCGCTGTGTCCCCTCGGGGGGCTGCGCCAGGGGACACCGCGGCAGAGGTGGCACTTGTGACCTCCGGAGGTTTGCAGAGAGCCGGGCACCGCTCCCCTCCAGCGCCTGCGGCAGCAGAGCAAACCTCCCCTCCTTTACCCCGGCTCATCAGCAGCGGGCGCCTGGCTTCGCTCCGAGGGGGACCCACTGGATGTGCACCCGCTGGACGTGCACCCGCTTTCGGCCTGTGATTGTGACAGCTGGAGGCTCGGGTGGGCCCACCCTGAGACCCTTTGTGTTCCCTGCACCCCCAGACCCCGCTCCCAGCGAAAACAGAGCCCCTGCGAGGCGACCCGCTGCCCCCTCCGGCCCCGCTCCACACCTCAATGCCCAGCACGGCCAAGCTGCAAGTCCCAGGGAGCGAGACGTATTTCTGCAAGGTCCTGCCGAAGGTGGCGAAGCAGCCCTGGGGGGGGGACGGCGGGACGCTGGCGGGGCTCCCTCGCGCTCCCCACGGCTGCAGGGAGCTCGGGGGGCGACCGAGGTCTGGGCAGATCGGGGTGCGCGGTGGGGCAGGACGAGGTGGGGACCTGGGGGGTCACCGGGCTGCGGGCGGGCAGCGTCCCGGGCTCCCGGCCCTGGTGCTGAGGGGCAGAGGGTGCTGCTGCCCCGAGGCCGGGGACGCGGCAGGGCGGTGTCCTACCTGCTCGTGGATGTAGCCGGGGCTCCTCTCCCGGCACTGCTCCCAGCCCAGCAGCTCGCCCGCCTGCAGGAGCCCGTCCCGGGCGCAGCACGCCCGCGGCCAGGGCGCCCCCGGGTGCAGCTCCTGGAAGCGGGAGCCATTCCCAAAGTCTTCGGGTCCTAAAACGCCACAACATGAGAACTGAAACGGAAGGGAAACGCCATCAACGCGCTGTCAAAATGGCGGGGACGTCACCTGGGGAGGTGACGGAGGGAGGGGGAACGGCCCAGCACGGCGCTTGGTGTCTGCCTGGGGTCCACGAGCCCCTCGCCTGCGTTCGGGATCACCCTCGGCAGGTCCTGTGCCTGCTTCGCACCCCTCCCCGAGCCCACCGGGAGCTTCCCAGCCGCTCACCGTGACCATGAGGGTGTTCCAGGCGGTGGAGAAGACCTCGGCACCCTCGTCCCCGCGGTAGTTCCTCCGCAGCTCGGACAGGAATTGCTCCGGCTGGATCTGCGGGAGCACCAGGGGACCGGTACCAGGGACGGGGCCGTGGGGGCTGCGCACCCACCCTAACCCCCCCCGCCCCCGCTGGCCAGGGCGCCAGCTCTCTTCGAGGGGACGTGGGGACCCATGGCACCCACCCACCCGGGTTTGGACTTGCGTCACGGTGCTGGTGATGAAGATGAGGGTGAGAAAGACCGTCCCCGCGCCAGCCCCGGTCCCCTGGGGGACTCAGGGCCGTGACCCACGGCACGACGCAGGGAGGAGTGGGGCTGGCCACGGCGTCGGGGCGCGGGGATGGTACCTGCTTCCAGTGCACCAGGAAGAGACCGGCCCCAACGAGCTGCGTGAGGAAGACGAGGCTCACGAGGATGAAGAACTAGAAGGCAGTGGGATGAAGGAGTCAGGGACCCTGCGGGCAGCTCGCTCCGGCTGTTCCTCCTCTGCAGCCAGCCCTGCCCGCGCCCTGGGCGCCGGGGGGGACACGGGGGACGAGTGCGCAGCTCCTGGGGACAGAAGCCACGTCTCCGAGCGCCACAGCTGCAAGGCGGAGGGTTAAAAACAAGCACCGGCTGCCAGGGGCGGGGGATGCCAAAGAAATTGGCGTGTCGGTGCTCAGAAAGGGGTTTCTAGCCCTCGCCATCAGGGGGAAAAGCTCGGAAATGCCGTGTGGGAGAAGGCAGTGGCTTCAGAGGGAAGTGACCCCACTCAGTGGCTTTGTAAAATCCTCTCGGCTCTAAATTCAAAGATTCACAAGGTGGGGACTGGATTGGGGCGTGCGCTGAGTGCTGGCGGGGCCAGGGTGGGGAACACCGGGCTTCTGGCTCCTCTGAGGACACCCCGCATCCCCCGGCGCCCTCCATCCCCTGCTCCCCACATCCCCCAGCTCCTTCCATCCCCTGCTCCCCACATCCCGCAAGCTCCTGCACCCCAACACCCCCTGCCCGCCGGGCTCCCCGCATCCCCTGCCGGCCTTCCCGCCCGTCTCCCCTCACTCACCGCAACCACA